TTTGAGTATAGAAGAAAGCTCATGGTTTCATAAGGCAAGGTTCGCAGTATTTGCTCTTACCGAAAATAGGCTGCCTCAGCTAACAATCGAACAATCCATTTTTTGGACCTTAACGTCTGTTCCCTACCAACCTTCCATGCCTCCAGATACTTATATCACAATTACTCGCTTGTACTTAAGTTTGGTCTGGTAAGGTCTGAAACGTTTGAGTTTGATTAAGGGAGTTTCAAAAACACTATAGACCTAAGGTCACAGGGCATATCATCAGTAATACCCCTCTATCCAAGTTTAGCGATGGTAAAAATCCAATTTACTTCCCATCAGCAGGCTTAGCCTCCGAAATTATGCCTTTGCGGTAACCTTGCGAAAACTGCAAATGCTTCTAACAGAACTAATCAGCACCTACAAGCCTCCTCTGTCTTACATAAAGACTTTAAAATACCCAAGTAGTCCTTAAATAGAATTAAACATTTTCCAACTGCTAAGCTGCTAATTTTTCTTCGCAGTACAACTCGAACTGTTTGGCTGATCGTAGTTTTTCAGAAGCGCCCCTCGGGTTCTAACGCAAAAAGGAAATGCATTTTGAGATGAACGTGCGAAGAGTTCTTTGTACAAAGTTGTCATCGGTCAGATAACTCGGAATTAAGTTATACAATGTAGATTGAAATCATATGATGACGTCGACCAATACTGTTGCACAATTTCAATACATTACGCGCAAACTTTCTTTCTCTCAAACACCTTGTAGTGGCTTATAAATTGTGTGTCTACGTAAAATCTGTGGACCTGGTGGAACTGTATGAGTTTTTTTAATTCCATGCACAAAATCAAACGAATCACAACAGCAGGCATGCCAAACGTATGGATAACGGCACAACGGTAAAAATATCCTAAAATTCCTTTTCGATGTGTGGACAATGAAGTCAAGGGCGCCCAGCAACCAAATGGAAGGACGAAGTGCAAAATGACTTGCCTGCATTTGGCACGAATAACCAGCGAAACTTTGCAAAGAAGAAATGCATCTAACTAGTGGGACCACTTACTTTTGTGACTATATAGTTGTAATGGCTTCAACAAAAAAAATTGTGGATATACGGCCTGAGAAAAGCACTTAAAGCGAGTTACGCTTTTCTTCATGGTTTACCTAGTTGGATATCTTTTTGTGATGTATTCTATTTGTTAGTTTATTTTCACATGAATTTTATAGCTTATGCAATTATATAGTTTTTAGGGTAAAATAAAATCTGCTGGGCACCTATTCGCCAAAACCACACATCACTCAGTATGGTGAAAACAAATACTAAAAACATTTTCTTAGAAAATTTTATCAATTAACTTTTTAACATGTAGGTATCAGCTGTAGGGAATCCCCATCTCTATTTGCAGAAAACATTATTTGCGCAACAATTTCATTAGCTACGCGAAAAAATGTGCATACTAAGCAAATACTTTACAATGACAACAAAAACATGAAGAAATAGAAATGAAAATGCAAAAAAAAGGCACACAAATAATTGCATATGTATGTACGTATGTATAACTTTAGTAGAGCAAGTCCAGAATTTCTATTTACATATATGGGCCCCATTCATTAGAACCTACTACGATTCGTACTTAATTAAGCAAAGTGTGTAATAGAAGAGTGTTGCAAGGGGGTGGAGGAGAGTGAGTGGCACAAATGCAAGTGCAACGCGTGCCGGTTCTGAAAAGCGCACATGAATTCGATGCGATAAGCAAAGAAGTTAGATGAATTTTCTATTTGCCTTATCGCAACATTTCTCTAATTGCAGTTGGCTGCAAAAGAACCGTGAAATTGTCGATGCTTTAGTGCAAGTATTTAGACGCTGGGAAAAGTAATGACACAAATGTGATTTGCCCATTTACGGCTTTGAGCTGGAGGAAGACAGTGGAGTGGTTTAACTACTGGTGTGCTAACATAATCACATACATACATACAGACATAAATATGTATAAATATAAAAGAAATGTGTTTTAGTCGTACGCGTAATCGAATTGCATTTTAGATCGACGAAATCGTATTTGAAAATATTTTCAGAAAAAAAATCATTTAACATTTGAGTGGTCTATCAAGTTATAATTAAATTCTTAAATCTCTTTTTTTATTTTTTTCTTTGCAGTCCTGTCGCAGAGACGTTTAACAAAGTGCTAAATGTGCTCGACGCCGCGGCGTTTTGGTGATCGCTGCGCAGGAATAATAGACTGATGATCAAAGTAGGAGACCAATATGCTTCTTTATTTGCAAATGTACCGTTACGTAAATAAGACAAATATGTATGTGTCTACGAGCGTATTTATAGGTGTAGTGTAAAAGACAAACGCACATGAGACTAGACATTCTTCGACGAATCTTCGATTGATTATTGCAACAAACGGAAAAAAAGACAATTTGCGAATTTGCAGACTTAAAAAAAAAAAACAGCAACTAAGTGAAGTAAAAGAAAAATGCACGAACTCTTCACGAAAGTGCTCTCCAAACGTGATTTATCCCGTGCTGGCGATTTATTCTCGGTGCCAGATTCCGAAATCGTCAATGATATTAGCGAAGTGGTAAGTTAGTGTATAAATACTGAGATGCATACATTAGGGTGGTCCTTAAATATATCACCATCTAAATTTTTTACGGGCGCACCACTTTATTTTCTTTTACCTTCAAATTTTAAACAACTTTTTAAAGGTTTCTGCCAGTGTTTGAAAAAAATTTTAATTGAAAAAATCGCTACAATGCCAGAAAATGTATATCTAAAGTTTGATAAATTTTACATATTATTAAAACTTAATCATATAAACACATAAACTCGCTGAGTTTTCAAACGAAATTTTCTTTTAAAATTTTCGTGAAAATACAAAATTTAGAAATTGATATTTTTTAAGGACCACCCTAATATATGTACACACAAACATAAATACCTAGCCAGTATTTAAAAAAAAAAATGTCTTCAATTAATTATCCTTCAATCAATGTACAGCTCTCTGACATCAGTCCGATTATTTCACATCCGGACTATTTAAAAAACAACAATGATCAGTCTGTGGTGGAGATTTGTGTTACACGTGTGCTCTCTTGCATACGTGAAACGAAAACTGCTGAACGTTATTGCGCCGCATTGGTAGATTTGTTGCGGACGTGCCTGTTATGGAATCTTCAGCCAGCTGGCTCGGCCAAAGAGGAACCTCCTCATGCAAAAATTGCCGCTGATATTATTTCAAGTATATTTTTGGTGAGTAAATATGCAGTTACATATAAACTTTTATAGAATAACTAATCGCTCTTTGATTTGGGTATGATAGTGTCAAAGGACATAATATTCTTCTTCTTAAGTGACCAAAAAAAACTTTGCTAATTGGTTTTCTCATATGCAAAGTTGCTCCAATTTTTACTTCCCGTATACAGACAGGCGCTTCTGAACTTGCTTCTCCCATTGTTGCCGTGGTAGCCCTTTCTTTCATTGTCCACTCATTGGTGCCGAATCGAAGGATCTTTTCACTGGAGCATTGTCATTCAGGAGTAAAACTTAGACAAGCCAGCGCAAGAGCTGTATTTTTGTGCGCTTAACTATCGTTCATAAGCTCTTACAATTTGTCCTTCCATCGCCCTCGCGGACAGGGCCATCGATTTTGTGTAGAATATTTCTCTCGAAATCCCCCAAAGCCTTCTCATCATTGTTCGAGTTCGTCCAGCTATCTCCACATAAAAGGATGGCTCTGATGAGAGATTAGCAGAGCGTGCTCTTTGTTCGTCTACACCCAGAAAAAGGTTTAGTTATAATAACCAAGATTTGGTTATAGTGATCAAGTGGCATAGTTGGATATGGCGAAATAAATATATAGTTCACGAAAGTCTGCAATTTACTTAAGACTTCTAGTTGGGACAAATGTATATTTGTTAATAATTACAAAACGACTACCTTGATTGGACAATATTGTTAGTTGAATAAAATCATTGCTGAGCAAATATAAACAATGCTTTGGTTGATACAAGTTTTCAATTAATTTTGTGAACTTGCTGTAGACTTGAATCAGCTAAAAGTTTATTATTAGGAAAAAAGTTTCAGTTTGACACAAATAAAAATTTACTCGATGTTTGTTGTGTTTACTTTCTTCTTTTATTTGCATATATTAAGCATAAAAATACGTACATATTTACATAAGTTAGTTACTAAAGTAAATAATACATGTGTATATGGTGTTAAGAATTTCTTAAAAAACAACGATGAAACAGGAACAGTCGTGCGAAAACCCAGGTCAATATCTGCTGGAAGTATACTGCTTTGCTTTTTCCTTAGCTAAATAGACACTTTCAAACTATAATTCACATGAATTATATATCCACTGAAAAACCCCGGTTGGCATACAACTTTATATTTTTAATTAAACTTTAAACTATGCGCGCACCGAAACAACTCGCGATGATAGCAAAACTGAAACTGAGACAAACAAGTATGGGCATGTCATAGCACACATGGCGCAGCGATCGACATGCCATAGCTTACTGAGCGCTCTGGGACCACATGCGTGTTTCACCCATATACGAACAGCGGTAGCGGAGCAATGATTTCCACGCACAATGCAATGGTCGGCATACTAGCGCATTCAAACGATTCAATAAGTGGGACTGTGTGCATTGCTCAGCTGGCGCTCTTCGTATGTGCTCAGAGAGCGCTCAGCATTCTTTAGGGGTGGCTCATAAGCATGAATATGTTCCACTCTCAAACCAAATCGTGGTTGCCTCAACTAAGATTTGGTAACTATGACTAAACCACGTGTTGAAAGAAAGCTTATCTGCATTAGCTGAGCTTAATAACATCCTTTTATGAACCATACGTTAAGTTGAATGGAATTTGTAGAAATATGCTTCAAAGAAATATTTATTAGTATTAACCAAACCCTTCAACTAAATTAACGATTTGTTACAACCTAGATGAATATTAGAAGCTTTAATATATTTAGTTATAGTTCCCAATCCTTGGTAACAGTTCCCAAATATTGTCAAAATTCGGGAACTAAATATCTTTAGTTGTCGAAACTAATCCTTTTTCTCAGTGTAGAGAGAGATCTGCTGTTAAGTTGTCTACCGAACCCAAAGCAGCCTTTTTCGCAAGTGTTATTCTTTGCTTGATCCTTGATCTCCAGGCTCACATTATTTGTGCTGCTAATGCAGAATCCTATGTAAACAGCCATCAGTGACGTGGTCAGCCAGTGGCCGGTTAAGACTTCACCCGGTATAGAATAAGTTCCCGTACTTACTTTCAAAAACACTCTCCACTATTCTCAAGCGGAAGTCTTAGACCCATGTACGCAACTGTGTCCGAATTCTCTATATTATTTCACATACATATGTATTCATCATTATTTCTCGCTTCCTCTTACAGAACTATGATAAAAAGGAACTGATGAAAATATCACTGCCGGTGGCAGTGCAATTCCTGCCAAAAGGCAATCGTGAATTGTCTCGAAATTTAGCGAGCTATCTTTCTTTGGCAGCTATAGACTATGCATACTTGCTAAGTCCACATGTGTCATCGATTATGGATTCGATTATGGCCGGTGAGAAAGTTACACTTTTTAAATAAAAAACCAAGTTTGGTAATAAATTTTTCCAATTTTTATATTTAATTCGCAGGAAATTTCGGCTTACTACGCGTGCTTTCACAAATTTACGAAGTCTCTCCAGATGAAGTGTCGCCACATGCACCACTGTTGGTGACGCTGCTGCCACAATGCGACTCACAAGAGAAACTGGCAGTGCTACAACTATACCTACTCATTGCGCAAAAGACGCCAATGGTGAGTACAAACTATCATTGCAATCAACCAAACTTAAAATGAAAAAAAAATTCAATCAAAAATCCCCAATGTATGTCTTACCTACACAAATATTTAGGTTCTCGAGAGCTGTGTGCCACGCCTATGCGAATTGTTGTTCGACACTGAAACTGCCGCAATAACAATGCAAATTTTACTTAAAATCTCTGAGCAACGTCCCCTACTCATCGTTGAACATAGCGAGAAAATCAAAGCAGCCAGCAAAGCAAATCCAAATACGGTTTACTTGGCTGCACAAACGCTCGCCTCGGCCGGACGTACGAGCAAGGCGCATGCGCAGTACGCACTCGACTTTGTTTTGGAACACTTGCCACATGCAGATCGCACATCACAGACGAATCTACTACAAGAAGCCACCAAGTTATGCTCATCATTTCCCATACTGTTCACCGATAAGGTGCTCGCTTGCGTGCGGCAAAAGAACGCGCTCAGGTGAGTAGAGTAAAGCATCGAATTTTTCATAGAAACTAAGCCAACTTCATAAATTTTTAGTCAACAGAAACTCTCAACATCCGATATAAACATCGATACTAGTACTAAGATGTCAGGCGGCGTAACCATAGTGAACCTGAACAGTCCGACCGATCCGCCACCGCCAACACCAACAGCCGCCGCAGCAGTGGTGGCTACTGTACTCAATACCGTAGCAGCCAATAATTCGAGCGCATCCAATGCCTCAGCCACATCGATACCAATCCCTGCCGAACCAGCTTCCAGCGCAGCAACCATTTCGGTGGCAGCCGCCACAGCCACCACAGGTCGCTTGCATAAAAGCAAAAATAAGAGTCGCAGTAGTCCAAGTAGTCCGAAGGATGGTAGCCGCAAGGCATTACTCAGTGGCAATCTGAAAATATGTGAGCACTTGCATTCACGCATCTATTTAATTTAGCATTTCTGTAATTGATTACCACATTCCATTAGCAACAACACAACCAACGACGGGCGTCGCAACCAACACAACTGTCATACAACAGAGCAACCATGCAACTTTGGGCGGCGCGGCTGCTCCAGTGCCTCCCACGCCGCCGCATGCCGGTTATACGCGTCGCGTCAAACTCGGCGATTCGCGCAGTACTGGTCGCCTGCATCCAACCGGTAATACGCATCGCAGTATGACACGCCTCAATGTCGCCGGCGGCTCAGTGGGTGGTCTTCATAAGAGTATGACGCGCCTTAGCTCATCCCAGCATATCAATCAGAATGGCGGTTCCAGTTCCAACAATGCCAACAATTCACAATCCAGCGGCAATGTGGTGGTGCAAACAGCCACCGGCGCCAGTACGACAACGGTGGGTACGGGAGCAGCACCCAAAACTCCGACCAGTCCCAGCTGTCCAGGATATGTGACACCTGTGCCGCCACTGAGCAATAATGTCATTATAACGGGTCACAATAAGTGGGGTATTCCATCGACGCAGGTCACTTCGGGTGGCGTCACAGTGACTACATCTCCGACAAAAGTTAGACCGCATTCGCAAGGGCCCACAACGTTACTTAACTCGAGTACAGCTTTGTTGAAGTACACCACCGATGCGCTGAATCAATCAATTGGTGAGTAACAATCGGGGAGAATTTGTCAGATCTCTTGATACAACACAAGTTACACCTCCTCCTTCCAACCTATTTCCAATTTGTAAATATTCTCCACACGGCATCAACCAACTCTTCGCATATTTTTTCAAACCAATTCATCTAAGACCCGTATCTCTGTGGTCGAATCCCTTCAAAACGGCACGTTTTCTGAGACCGAGAATTCCGATAACACTACTTGAATTCACTGGTTAAGGCAGGGTTTAGAATGCTGCTATAAAACCCAAAACAAGAAGTCCGAAAAGAAAGGATATCGTTAAGTAACTGCAGACTTCCTCCTATATTATACAGATAACTACGTTTATATACGGACTCCAAACAGATCTCTCTTTAGTCACATCTTCTCAGGGGAGGAGTGATTAGGAGACAGCTGTCTGAATGCAACTATAGTGTTTCCAGCTCGGAGGTGGGTATCATTACGGAATCAGTAGAGGGGTATGAACATTTATTTTGATAGCCAAGCGGCTATCAGCACTTTGGAGTCACTCACATTTCGTTGAAAATTATCTCTCATGGGGTTGCTTAAAAGTACTTTCTAATGAGGCTAATATGTGTACGAGGTTAGCGTGGTAATAAAGGCAATTTTTTGCTAGGGACGGCACCTTTAAATTTGTCTCGCCGCGTAATAAGAGGTTGGGAGTCATTTTACTACCCTTTGACTACTCTTTGGTGGACCACCAGTTCCGAAATCGGGGAAGGGATCTTATCACACAGGTTCATACTACTGCAGATGTTTGGAAGACGATTAACGGCAATTATCTTCCTAAGCTGTCCACATTTTGTAGTTTTTACGATTGATATATTAACTCATGCTTTCTGGGGCGAACTTCAAGCATTTGCGCCTATAATTAGACCCTTAATCTGACAGCCCAAGATACTGGCCCTTATAAATGCTTACAGTTTAGAAAGAAGTTCGACTGCTTATGAATTTAAACAATATACAGACGATGCTCCGATGTCTCTGTGTCTTCAAAACAAATATGGCATTAGGCCTCTAGTATCACGCTGATACGGTGCATGAGAGAGCGCAGATGATTAATTCAAAGGGGGGAAGGTGATGTTTGATCTATCCAAAAATGTATTACAGTAGAAGAGCCCGCCTATCTGAGAACCAAATCACTCCACAGTACTTACTACATTTCGGTTTTTTCACTCCAAATTTCTGAGCCTCGAAGCAGACCAACCGAGTCCGCAAACTTGAACCGATCCGCAAGGGCTGACTATGCGCCTTACATTTCTAGTTCGAACCAATTTTCTTGTACATCGCAGTGACCTGGTACAAAGCATAGTATTACCAGTACCATTTTGATCGTTCAATGAGTTAAGGAGTATCAAAGCCTTACTTGATTAGCTTGGATGTGATCATTGTTCCATACAAAGTATGTTCCACATTTTTTTTTTTTTTGTATGAAAGGAAATAGTAATACCAACAGCAAATAAAAATTGGAAAAATTAACCGGACTTCTTAGCAACTTCAAACTTCCACTTTATAATACTAGAATTAGATAGACTATAAAACTGCATATCTAGAATTTTTGCGAGTTTGTTTTTAATTTTCTACAAACTTTGAAATGTGGATTTATATGACTTTCTTTATATACATAAGGAGCCAGACATTTATAAAAAATTAATTAACATTTTTTTTTATTATTACCAACCCGCCCATCCGCACAAGGGGCTTAGTTCGCATGGCGTACGGAAAACTTTTTTTAGTTTTTACGCCAAGTCACGAAAAACAGGAGTTTGTTAAATGCCGAGATCTAAAACTAGTCTATTAAAGAACCAAATTCATCAGCTAATTATTATGTCTTTATGTTAGTCAATCATTTATTTAGAGAGAAAGAAAAAGCAAAACTGTTAAAAATGGCCTGTACCTATTATTATGGCCAGGGGTGTATATGAGATCAAGGTGAGAGAATCATTTTGATCAGACGACTTTGTGTGGAATTTTGTGCTGGAATTTTCTGTCCGAAAAGTTGTATTTTAGCGTGGAGTCAGAAAAGCCATCATCGTTCCAACACTGGTATTTGCAATTAATATTTATCTCTCGCCTGTTTTTGTGAAGAGTGCCAGGAGATATTTAATTATGAACTCAGATATCTAAATTCCAATCCAACAACACCTTTAATGCATTCTACGAAGTTCCTGAAATCTTGGACTAATTTTGAGAAAAAAAAATTTCACTGTGAATCAAATTTGCTCAAGAGGTATATTTATTTTGTTGGTGTTGGTTGACTTTTCCGACTGGGTGGGAAAATCATTTATTTTGGAATGAATTTCTGTCACTCCTTGTCAAGATTCAAATCTTCGATTCCATTTCAAAAGCGAAAATCTTCGCTGTGTTTTGCTTTAAATTTAATCGGCTTGAGAAACTCAAGTCCACGATTTATTATACCAAATTATTTGCGCAAAATATTTGTTCTTTGAACTATTCTTCGACAAAAAAAAACTACTTAAGTCCGCAAATATTTGCTGAAGTAAAAACTAACGCAATAATTTCCACTGCAGGTTCAATTTCCATACCACAAAATCCGGTTTCGGTGCATCATGCATCGCCAGCGTTGCCGCAACAGAATAACGGCAATCAAAAGTCTGTGATGAAGCTGCCCGTGAATGGAAATGTAAGTTGCAACTTCAATTAAATACACTCTCAAAACCTATGTAACTGTCTGTGTTGTACAACATGGCGTATGAGTATCCAATGCTAAATATTACCCCACGTCAAATGTTACGCATACGCACCGCCTAACAAGTATTTACATTTTCTCGCAGAGCACACACGAAGTGATCGTCTCCGGGCCAACAACTAATATGACGCCACGTCGTAACAACAACAACACCAGTCGCACGCTACTCAACGCCAATAATAGCTGCATTTTAGATCAACGCATGAGCACATTCGAGCCCTATCAGATAATGCGCGACCCAGTACAGCAATTTTGTGAAAAACATTTCGGTTCGATTAAATCGTACATGGATGAGGTATCACAATCGCTGCCGCCGCCAACGCGTTGTAGCATTGAAGGTAAGCAGAAGTAATTTTTTGTTTTTTTTTGTTTTGAGACTTTGCATGAAACCAAAAATACACACACATACATACATAACATACATGTTAACATAATACTTACATACTTGCATAAATATCCAGCTAATACACTTCGCACACACAAGTAAACGTAATTGTTTATGTCATTCATCATTTAAAATAGCAAGCATGCATTTAATTAATTTTTATCGTCGTCATGTCTGACGTTCTCTCTTTCTTTTTCTTCTTATCCAAAATCCGTGCCTTATTTGTATTTATGTTTTTTTTTTTGTGTTAACCTTTATTTTTAAATTTATATAATTTTCATCTTCTGCATTTACTCCTCACTTTTTTTTTTTTGATTTCCTCTTCAAACTGCACTGCTGTAATGTCTCTCTTTCATCTTTATACGTATGTATGTATGTCTCCTCCTTTGTCGTCCGCCTCTACAAACATCAACAACGACAACAACTATCGCTGTTTCTATCCCTCTTTCTCCCACGTCTGGTATTTACGTCAAAAAGTTTCGAATGAATTTGCAGAGCGTCGCACAAAGAAAGTAGCCAAACTGCACTTCGCCTGCCAAATACGCGGCCCCCATTGTATGTACTCGAAGACCTGCTTTACGATGCGCACGCGCAACCCTAAAACCTGGATACATTTAATGTTTTTGGACTTTCAAGTGCGACACTATGTAAGTGGGGGGAAAAGATATTTTGCGATAACGTAACATGCTATGTTTTCTAAATTTACGAATTTAAATTTTAGGTGAAGGAAAAAACTGTTTTAAGTACACGCGAGCCCGGCATTAGCAATTTGAAGAATATCTGGCAAATACTCAAGTGCGAGAATCGCAGTTTCACAGAATTAGTCACCAGTCAGTTTCCGAATGCAAAGGTTTGTTTGTTTTATTGTAGATTTACAAATATTTGTACTAACTTATCAATACGCACATATATATGTATGTATGTATGTACATCTCTCTGCGTTAAGCCCATTGCAGCTGTGAACTCGCAGTGTTATAAGGACTTATAGCCTCAGTGCTATGTTAATTTGTAAAAATGCTGTTTTGCATGCAACGTCAATGCTATCGGTAATATATCGATAACTTATTCGATAACATAATCGATAAAACATCGTTAACATATTCGATAAGTTATGGATAACATAATCGATAAGTATGTATATCGATAACATATCGAAAAATACATCGATACGAAACCTGGAAAAAACATTTATAACGATAAATACTCATATGCATGTATATCGATAAATATTAAAAAATAGACAAGTATCTACAACTGTGGCAATAAATGCATAGATAATTTTATCTATTAACATAGTATGTATGACTTTAGGGTGGTCCTTAAAAAATCAAATGTAGGTCACACCCCCTCACAGATATCACATATAAATTTGGGTCCCGATTGGAGTTGTTTAAGGCGTGTCGCAAAGAGGTAAAAGACCCGATGCCTCTAGGGACTGAAAAAAATAAAAAAAATTTTTTTTCATTTAATGCCCAAAATCGAGACTACTAAGGTCGAAGATATCACATAAGATATTTAGTTTCGATTGATTGGGGTTGAGGCTTAAAAAATCTTAGGTAAAAATTTGCTTCCTACATTTACAAGGACTACCCTAATGTACTTGCATTCATTCACATGTTTGAGGCCGTGAGAACAGAAGTGGCCTAACCAAAATTTTTTTGTTGTACCTTCCTACTTAAAAAATTTGCGAACTCCAAGCTAAAACAACTCCAAGCCAAATAAATTACACAAGTTTTAAGGAAAGTTGTTGCATCCTCTGGCACTTATAATATTTCCTGTAACTATTTTTAATTTGTCAAGTTTGCGTACCACTAAATAGAAGCGGTTAGAAATAAAACAAATTTTTTTTTTGTTCTTACTTCTTGCATCCAAATATAATCCTTTTTTTTAAGTGAACTTAGCAGCTTTTCACTCTAAGCTAGCGATGTGTGTGCACTTATTTATGTACATATGTATATTTGTTTCTTCATTACTTTTGTTCTTCGTTCATTCCTATTTTCCTTTATTCATTACTATTTGCCTTCCGAAGGACCGTGAAATACTCGTCAACGAATTACGCCATTCCGGCTTCCTGGACGTTTTCGAGGTATCCAAAACCGACACAACCAATCCAAATTGCAACGAGTTGGAATATCAATGGGGCTGCCTGCTGTGTAATCATCCCGATAAAGCAGTTGGTTTTCTCAATGGCAGCAATCAGCCGATGATTGAGGGTCAGCTGAAGGAGAAAAAAGGCAAATGGCGACTATTTCGACGCTGGCGCACAAGATATTTTACGCTCTCTGGTGCACATTTGTCCTGCAAAGGATCGGTAAGTGAATAAACGTTTAACAGTACATTTTTTTTGTTTTTTTTTTTTTGAGTTTTGAAATTTTTAACTTCTACAGAGCGGTGGCGAAAGCATTGACGTCAATCAAATACGCTCCGTTAAGGTGTCGCGCGGCGCACGCAACATACCTAAAGCATTCGAAATTTTCACCGCCGATCAGACATTAATACTCAAACCCAAGGATGGCAAAAATGCCGAGGAATGGGTGCAGTGCCTCAGCATTGTGGTGGCACATTCGCAAGCCCGTGATAATCCCACTGCGAAAACAAATAGTCTGCCTGCACGCGGCATGGGCAGCAGCAAGCCATCGTTTTAGAACACTGACAACAAGACAACAACAACAAAAAAACAACATAACATAAAAGAGAATTGATAAGAGATTTTTTTTTATATGTATACATACATACATATGTATTAACGAATAAGACAAAAGCTTCAAAAGACATTATCGATTAAAGCATTGCTTGCAGCATATTTTATATAAGAAGTGCATACCTAAACACGTACATACATGCATACATATACATATGAAAAAAAAATATTAAAAAATACAAAAATTATAAAAAGACAAAAGATAAAGACGCTCAACAAAAGAATTTAGCAAACACATGGCACTTTAATTCATCTCCAATAATTAGAAAATCCACTAATTTTATAAACAAGCGAAATACACAACACACACACATTTACACTATAGATACTTACAAGCATGTACTTAATATTGAATAATTGTATGGCAACTATTTACTTAAAAAAAAAAAAGTTTCTTTGTTTATTTTAAGCTTAGCGATTTAATTACTTAAGTAACTAAAATATTTATTATAATTAATCGAATAAATGTTGATATACAATATTTTTATACAAAACAAAACTATTTCATGTCTGCATATTTTGTGTGTTTTATGTTAAAACTGGAAAACAAAAAAAAAAATGGTGTGTGCTCATCCTGTGGTGTAGTAGTTAATCAGTACTTATCTTCGTGGAGACACTGAATTTTCCCGACAGTGCATTGATATCGTCAAGCAAGGTTTTCATGTCGATTTTTGTAGCCCCTGGCAAGTTTTACTAAATTGAGATTTTTCGCAAAGGATCAGAAGATGCTATATCACGGATAAACTGTGATACAACAATTTATTCTGGCGCTGTATAAGTATTATTTTTCACTGCGTGAGCTCAAATAGGACAGTGGGTCTTCCTATACATACCCACTAGAATCGAGAGATCCGGCTTAGCGCACATCGGCCATTATGACCTCGCTGTAGCACATGCCCTGGTTTTCCCCAGAGTTTGCTGAGTTGACCCGAGACCCATCTTTACAATAGCAGTTCACAAATAGTCAAGGCGATTCCCACTCTCTCTTTTTTGGCGACCTTCCCTCGAAATAACCGTCTCTGGCCAGTTAATCAGCCACACAGTTTCCTACGATATCACTATGGCCTGGAAACCATACACGTCTGACAAAGCAATATTCTGACGCGACCGGAGGTGAATTAAGGCATTCCCTTACGATCTTCGATTGCCGACAGTCGGCTATGCGTAACCGCTCACCTACCTACTCAGATCTACATATGTATATCTGGCCAACGACTGTCACACCAGCTGATTCCCCAAAAACAGTTTGGCTATTTTTATGCTGCTGTTACAAATACAAAACCTAGTAAATCCACCGTAGACCAGGTCATTCACCCTTTGGTGTGTTCGGATGGTTTATGCTCCTTTTCCGGCGAGTACCGGGGATGATGGAACGACGAACACCATCGACATTGCGCAGCGAATAAAAATACAGCGACTACGCTGGCAAGGACATGTCTTACGAATGGAAACAAATGCTTCAGCCCTGAAGGTATTCTATGCGCCAACCGTTGAGGAAGGCCTTCTCTGTGTTGGCAAGATCAGGTGGCGAGAGCCTTGGACTCACTTGGAGTTTCTAATTGGCCCATTTAGTAAGAAGAAACCACTGGCATGTTTTGTCGCAATCGGCCAAAATCACATAGGCAGTTACAGCGGCAATCAATTCGATCACTAAATTACCGCAAAAGCCGTAATTTTCGCTTGAATTTCAATACAAGAAATTGTAGAAAAATTCGTTCATTCTTTATTAATTCTTCGTTTGTTCATGTCTACAAATGTTAGTTAATATTTTGTCATTTTAAATTGCATACTCGTATAAAGCTGTACATATTTACAATATTGGATAATAGTCTATAAGACTATATAGCACTATACAATTCACAGTGTATTTTGTCATTTAAGGAATTTATCACAACCAAAACTTAATAAGTACTTAAGGGTATATTATAGCAGACTTAAATATTTCTGTTGAACATAATTCAATAATGGCAAACTACATAATTAACTATCGATTATACTTAAGTAACTGGTGGCGATAAAATTCAGCAACAAAATGCAATATTACAAAATAAGCAACAATTTAGTTTTTTTTTTTTTGGGAAACAAAGACTTTCTGAAACATCTTAACAAATTAAGTGAAACTTTTAACTTCATAGTTATAACAAATTACGTACGTATATACATTATATACATTATGTACATATGTCCTATTATGTAATCTATCTACATTTGAGCTTATTTTAGTATGTATGTACTATACGTTTTTTGTATCGTTATTTCCCCGCAGTCGTCGAGTGTATGATCATGGCAAAGGTACTCATTATAAACAATGCCGCCGGTATCGAGGACAATAAGTTGTATGTTTCATCGGTTATTTGGCGGCTGGTTTTCTTAATTACCCAACCCATACTACGCTCCACAGCACGCTTCCATTTGCTATAGCGATGATGCCGTTCATCATCGGTGCTCGTTGGTAAGAAGATATCATAGTCCACCACATCATAAGCCACTTCGTCCGGATGAAAGTCAAACAAATCAATACCTTCCGCTTGCGCTGCGCACAATGCCGCACCGAATGTCGTCGTGTCCGTCAATTGTGAACGAAAAACCGTTAGTCCAGCAGTATCAGCCTGCAGTTGCATAAGTAAATCATTCATGCTGACCGAACCATCTGCATGCAATTTATTCAAATGAAATCCGCTCTCCTGATGCATGCACTCCAGTATGTCGCGTGTTTGAAAACATATCGCCTCCAGTGCTGCGCGCACTATGTGATGTTTTGTTGAGTATTGTGTCAGTCCAATGATCAAGCCACGTGCATCCTTTCGCCAATAGGGTGCATAGAGACCGGTAAAGGCCGGTACAAAATATACATCTCCCGTCGTTGCTACCTCCTCGGCGCTCTTTTCTGCATTTTTGTAGTCCTTTAACACACGCATGCGTGTCTCTAGCCAACGTAGCGCGTGTCCGCCCACTGCCACAGAGCCCTCTAGCGCATAAGTGGCCGGCTTATTGGGACCCAACTTATAGGCGACGGTGGTGATAAGACCATGCGCGGAAATAACTGGTCGTTCGCCAATATTACAAAGCAGAAAGCAGCCAGAACGATAGGTATTTTTCGCTTGACCTGGCTTCACACACATCTGACCCAGCAGTGAAGCGTGTTGATTGCCCAGAATGCCACTAATCGGTACACCAGTGAGCACACACCTGTCGCTGGTGATGAGCCCATAAATTTCTGAGCTGCTGCGTATCTCTGGCAATATAGTTTTGTCAATTTTGAAAGTGCGCAACAGCTGTGGATGCCAATGCAGTGTATCGATATCCATTAGAAGTGTACGTGAGGCATTTGTGACATCGGTTATGTGCAATGCGCCTGCGATAGTAAATTATTTTCAAGAGATATTTAATTGTATAAATGTATTGCTGGTAAAGTTAACGCACCTTTAGTAAGATTCCAGACAATCCATGTGTCAATTGTGCCAGCCTTACAAAAGCCCTCGCGGTGAACCCTCCTCACTTCGGCCACATTATCAAAGAGCCAACGCAATTTCAACGCTGAGAAGTATGGCGAAACTGGCAAACCGGAAATGTGCTTGAAATGATTTTTGTCTTGATTATCCAATTTTGAGAGCACTCTATCCACACACTGCTCACTGCGCATATCCTTCCAAACGAGCGCATTGTATAGCGGCTGTCCAGTGCGTGAGTCCCAAACAACTGTCGTTTCCCGCTGATTCGTTACGCCAATACAATTGATGTCTGCGACGCTGTAACCCAATTCGGGTAGCTGAGCACAGGCTTTTTCACAGCATTCATAAATGGCATCCATCAGTTCTAGTGGATTTTGTTCATACCAACCAGCATGTGGCGTGGTCATCGTCAACTCAATTTGATACTTTGCCACTTCTTTGAAAAAAGGCACCGAGTATAAGGAGAACTGCACGCTACTGGTACCCTCATCGATGACGCCAACGAGACTCCGACCGGTGGTAGTAGGATTTTGAGAGGTAATTATACGGCGTTTCGACGCAATCGACAGGCGTTTGCCTTCCGTCATGTCTGCTATGTCTTGCGTGACTAACGAGTTAGCTGTCTTCCAACGATCCAAACAGATTTTGAGTCAAACTACGCCGACTGAAATTTAAAGATAATGAATTATTTGAAAAAAAAAAGTCCAAATAAAAATTATCTGGATAAACTGAACGGGGCAAAGGTTTGTATGGTACACATACATATGTACATTTAACTGCATGTGTTTGTATGTATGTACATATTTTTATTTATTTTGGCAGAGAAATTTTTCATCGATTTTGGACCTGCACACATACATATGTATTTATGTATAACCATTTAAAAATGTCCTTGCATTATGTGCGAATTTATTTATCTACAAATGTTTTACACTTTCTGTTGGTGTTGGCTCTTCTGTTTAATTAAATTTAAAAAAAAAAAATGGGAGTGACTCAGACGAGCCTCCATTTGCGAGAGCGTTAACATTTCATGTGCATATACATGTATGTATGTATGTACATTAGGGTGGGAAAAAATTCTCTTCAGAATTCTTTAAAAAATAAAACTATAATGCGAATTTTACTAACTATTTTTTCATAACGTGATTTTTGTATATTAGAGACAATATTATAGGTTATGAAAAAGTAGTTAGTAAAACTTTAAAGTTAAATATTCGCCAAAAGCACTATGTTTTGAAGTTCTCTGAAAGGAATTAATTTTATTCGATCTAAAAACACTTTTGTCCTTAATGAATTTATAGCAATTCTGTGACACAGTTTATTCTCCCCAGTAAAATGTGAAGTTGGGAAACTTCACAGCCAGGTGCACGCACGGTGGTGGCAAGCTGGATTTTACTGTTCGAAATAGTTTAGGGCCTTCAATTTTTAACCGATTTGATTAAGAATTCGCTGTTTGATTTTTACTATGTAAAATTTATTTTCTCTGCACTTTACAACAAAAAATTTTATTTCAATTTTTATTAGCTTTCATTAAAAAAAAAAGTTGATCAGATCGGTTGAAAAATGAAGGCGTTCGACTATTTTGAGCAGAAATTCTAGTTTGCTACCACTGTGCAGCGGCACGATTAAATATTAACCGATTTTAAATTTAAAAAAGGCGGGTCTACTCATTTTGGATGTGCTTTAGTTTATATTTGGACCTCCCTAATGTAAATCAAATGAAATGAAATATATATATATATGTAGACGCCATACGAGCGAGCAAACCTTGTATGTATGTATGTATGTATATGCGCATAAACCATATAGTAAATAAAACTATCTCTGAGCAAAAAACTGCACTAATAGTCTACTTTGGGTAATTAACACTCTGTTACGTTATTTCCAAAGCCAATTGACTAGCTTTAATCTGTGCGATTGAAGGCTTTGTGGATGCAATATACAACATGCAACTAGCGCACTTTGCAATTTATTTGGTGTGTTATATAAAATGTATTTTTTTTTATTTAATCGCACTATTTTTTCCACGGTGTGCATCTACTTAATATTTTTAGCATCTGTATAGGTTTTCGTTTTATATGCATGCATGTATGTATGAGCATACGTTGTGATCACGTGCCTTTTTCATTTGGACGTAAACAAATTATTTATACAAATTTATTTACAAACTAATTATTTATACAAATTTTTTTTTACGTTTAGAGTACTTTTTCGCAAATATGTACATGCACGCATACGTCACACGCATACATATGTATGAAGAAATGTTAGCAATCCGGTGAATTGTCTGGCTTTTGCGCTTGGCACGAATTTGCAAATTTTTTGGTTTTTTATTTTTGTTTTTTTTTTTTAATATTATTTTCTGGCAGCGAAATAAAAAACTTAAACGGAAACCAAACAAAAAATAAATCACAATTGTGAAGTCATGGCCATTCAAGATAAAAAATTTAAAATCAATCTCAGTACATTTTTTTTTTAATCCTGTTAAAGTCGCAATGGAAAATAGAACAGATATTTCAAATTGCTTGCCAAAAATTAGAAAAAATTTCCAAGATATAAATATTTTGCAGAAATTGTACACATTATAGAGAGAGGAAGGGATAAGAAGTAAGTACATAGAAAGTACGTTAACTTAAATAGAGGGTGGTGCATAGCGTTATAGAAGATAAGAAATACAGAAATTCAAAAAAAATAAATATAAGTTTTAAAAAGCATTTTGAATTTTTTGAATTTGGAAAATTTAGAAAAAACTGTTAAGCATTTTTTGGTTAAGAAAACTGTGTTCGTATTGGAAAACAGCCCACTGAATTATAAAACTTTTAAGTTTTCAAATATTTTGAACTAGTCATTAAAAAAGTATATTCGAAATTTTTTTTTTTATTTCTAAAATTAAAAAAAATAATCTAAAATTTAAAGTTTTTGAAATTTTGAAAAAATTTAAAATTTTTGCAAACAGTCGAATTTTGTCTTTAAAATTGCTGGGAAAATTTAGTTTGAAAAGACTGTGTATTTTGAAACAACCAATGCAGCAAATTTAGAAAGAAAAATTTAAAACTTTTGCAAACAGTCGAATTTTGTCTTTAAAATTGCTGGGAAAAATTTTTATGAAAGGACTGTGTATTTTGAAACAACCAATGCAGCAAATTTAGAAAGTGAAAAAGATTTTTTTCGTAAAAGGTTTCCATGCAGCCAACATAGAAGAATAGCTGGCGGTTATTTCCACAAACTTAACTCGAAAAAAAGTCAATTATGGTACTCTTGCAGCAAATTAGCGATATGTATATATTTCGAATTAGGGTAGACCGGTTTCAGATACTGAAATTCCACCAAAAATCATTGAATGAAATCGCACACATTTTACTTAGACTTTTGTACAAAAATTTGGAAAATTCGACAAAATTTCATCATTTAATAAACAAAAGATATGTAAATAGCCTGCTTTTGTTAAATATTGCGTCCCTATTTATGTTTTCGTTACCGTATTTACATACATACATACATATGTGATAAAAACATAAAAACACTGCGGTTGTTCACTCTTGCCTGGTTATCAGCTTATGTGGTTATATTTTTATATTTTCAGTTTACAACAATAAAATACACTGCACAATAATAATTTTTAACCAGATAACCTGATAAGCAGGCAAGCGTGAACAACCTCACTTTTAAATAGAGTGTTTCAAAAAAATTTATCCAATGCTCAAATCTGCCACACCTCCGGCGCTATAATGTATACTTTAATTGCTCTCCTTTTTTGCAAGAAGAAGCCGAACAAGTCAAACCTACTAAGCAGTTCAGTTGGGGTTTTTTTTTTTTGTTGTTATTCGAATATTGCACAAAAATATTAAATACACTCCCCCCCACATACATATACATACATGAAAACCTGTTTTTAAAATTGCAAGCACCAAAACGCGGGTATGTATGTAAATGGAACTTCTACCAAGCACAATTATTTTAAAACCTTCTTCTGTATGCGATGTAAACAATTGCAATAGGAGTGAAGTTCATTAAAACTCGTGCTGGCGGAAAGGCAAAAAAAAATTAAAAAAAAAAAATGCGAGCACAACAAAAGCACAAAACACTTGCATGAACTTACATATCAACTAAGCTCACAACTGTGTTCACTGCTCAGGGTAAAGTACAAACTCCGCCTAATTACATGGAATGTATGAACTTCTGCGATCGATAAGAATAGCGGCTGACGCATATATGTATGTACATATGTATGTATATAATAAATTTTCGATCGTTCGTTGTTTTTATTATATATATATATTTTTTTTAAGACCAAAGATAATAAACTGAGAAAAAAAGCTAATTGATATGCGTTATTTACGTCGACTTTTATTTTTATTTTTACTTTTATTTTTTTTTTCGTCTATGACACTAATATGCTGCGCTTATAAACCGCAATGCACGTCCATCCACCAGCTATGTCCAACACCAACTGAGGAGCGCATTTGTACGACAAATACACGGATAGCGCCAATTTTTCGAAAGCAGTGACGTTTAGCTCTGAATGATCGCCAAATGAACGACAAATGGTGGGAGCTAAGCGATGGAATTTGTTTCTTTTATTTACAATAACAGCAGCTGCAGTGCAATTTGTAATGAGTGCATGAATTGTGCAAGTAATGCAGATAAGAAAAAAAAATCGATGCCGATTGGTGATATTGGTATTGGAGAGGGCAATGGTGGCAATGACGACAGCGATGGCAATGTCAATGACAAGAAGGATGCTATTTATTCGAACAACTACATATGTACAGTGCGAACGGACAATAAAATATACGATCTTCGGAAAGAGAACACAAAAATCTGCTAGACACACAACGGAACAGATAGCAAACAGCCAGCGAATGAGGAAGGTGTGGGTGAAAGTGGTATTTACCGCGGCGTGGGAAGAAGCTGGATGAAGCAGAGGAGAGTAGTTGGCAGCATGAAACAAATCACAGCCTGCATTCGGTATGACAGCAATTCAAGTGAAAAAAACTAAAATTTATTTCGGTAGCATAACATTTAGCTTTGGTGTTACGATAACAATTACATACTATTGCGCTTGCTTGATGAACATTTGAAATATATGTTTACTATATAATCTAGTATTTGCTTTGAAAACAAATATTTAGTAGCTAAAGAAAAATTTATAATTGGAAGTTCACATCTCTACATCCGCCACTTTATGTTGGGCTTAAATAATAAGTTTTAGCGTTGATTGGACTTATTGATTTATAGCAAATGAAGCAGTTTTTCCGCAAATCTATTATTAAAAATTATTATTAAAACTCTTGTTACAATAATAATAATAATTGATTCACTATAAGCTATGATTATAGATATAGAAATATTTAAATAAAGAATCGATTAGAATCGAATAATACGAATCTCGCCGTCGATTATTCACTTACAAGAATCGTAAGGATTAAATAAGATTCGAGGATCGATTAATTTTCAAAACTTTTTTTCCATCCCTATTTGCTTATTGTTTTGAGGCTTGTCTGAATGCGTACATATCGACATTAGTCTTTTAGAAATTTCGCAGCAAGCAGGCAAGAACGATAAGGGATATACTCTGGAGGTATGTATAGCGTAAAAGTAATGGCCCATCTTATCTTAAAACGAATGTTTCATAAATAAAACGTGTTTAAGCGAAACACACTTTATTGATTATTATTTTATTT